CAAAGCCCCATCTGCTCCCACAATGGGGGTCTGGTCATGGATCCCCAGCAGGGACCATCCCTGCAGCATCCTGAGGATCAGGGCGTGGGAGTGGGATACAGCCAGGGGCAGGGAGAGGGGGCAGGGGGCACACTTCACTCACCCGAGCCTCCTCCGCTCGTGGGAACTGGGCAAAGCACTGGAAGAAAACCCGGAGTCACCCAGGGATTCCCTGCAGGGATGTGCTGGAGGAGCCATGGAGCACAGTGGGGTGCAGACCCACACTTCCTACACCCCTGGGGGGCTCAGCACCCAGTGCTCCATCCTGCACCAGTCTCTGAATGGGTTAAGCACATCCCCCTCCCAGTGACCCCACTGGGGCTGTGTCTGGGAACCTGGTAGCATTCCCAGCAGGACCAGTGTGCCCAGAGCGTGCCCATAGTGTGCCCTAAGCATGTCCAGAGCGTGCTCAGAGCGTGTTCAAAGCGTGTTGCTTCCCACAACTGCCACACAATCTGATGCCCAGGGATTTAGCAGCATCTCTTCACCTTACTCCCCAGGACTAGAGGATTTGGGGCACCAGAATTCCCACCCAGAGGTGTGGAAATACTCACACGGGCACAGTTCTCATTGCCAGGGGCACCTGGCATGCCTCCATCCCCCTTCTCTCCATCGACACCCCTGGGTGCTTCCAAGGCTGCCTGGAGCTGGGCACAGTCCCCACAGAGAGCCTGGGAGGAGAAGGGGAGTCAGAGATGCCGCAAGGGGTTTGGGGTACCCTGGGCAAGAAGGTGTCCTGTCCCCACACTCTCACCTTCAGCACCTCGATGTTCCTCTCAGCCATGACAGCAAGTGGACCCTGGAAAAGATGCCAGAGGGAGGAATGGGATGGAGAGACAGAGGGATGGAGGGACAGTGGAAGGACAGAGGGATGGAAGGACAGAGGGATGAAGGGTCCCACCATGAAGGAGCAGGACAGGTGGGCACAGGAGACACTGCCACGGGCACAACCACCACCTACCAAGTCTCCAGCTGGCCCAGGCAGTCCTGGCAAACCGTTGTGTCCTGGCATTCCCTAAACCCAAGGAGGGAACCTGAGTATTTAACCCCTGTGCTAAAAGCTGGGCAGGATCATT